AAAGCATTTTAAAAATAAGGTGTGTACATTGTTTTTTAATATACAATGCTATTGTACACTAAATAGACTACAGCATAGTGTAAACATAACTTTTATATGCCCTCGACACCAAGAAATGCATTTGCCTCACTTTATTGTGGTATTTGCTATACTGTGGTGGGTCTGGAACCGAATCCACAATGTCTCTGTGGTATGCCTTTACTGGTTTTGGTAGCAGCTGTAAATATCCTGGTGGCTGAATTTCTATCTTTCCATTCCCCCCCTAGTTTCTCAAATTTAAGGATTCAGAGGTTCCTAGACCTGTTTCCAGGATAGGCACTTCTAGATTTAGGGGATTTGTGAAACTGGTATTAGCCGACATGTCTAATTTTCTTGTCACTGACCTCACACTTAATTTTCTCACGTTACCTTTATCTTCTACAGCTTTCTTTTCTGCCTCTTTTAATACCGTGTCTCCTGCATATTTTTCTCACCTCCCAGGGACACCAAAAGAAATAGTTTCACCTTTTGGTAGCACCTGCAACTGTGCTATATAGTGGATTGCTAATGTTTTCCTGAGTGTCAGTTAATTAAGGGCATTAATGTGCTTTGTGTTGGTTTTAAGTATCACTTAAAATGTTTTGAAAACTCTCATATAAACCACATTTCCACTTACGTTTGAAAGTGTATTTGTTGTATGTGCATATGTGCCTGGCATAAAACTTGTAATTAATCTTCAAGATGCAAAGTAAAAAAGTTAGGATGTATTTTCAATAATTGCACACTTTAGAATAACCGAACACCTTGACTATCAGTATTTTTTTATTTTGACTTTCAGTATTTTAAAGAATAACTTGATTCATGGTGAAGATTGAGGAGGATACATTTTGTGTCTTTGGAAGGATAATCATTACTCTTGGTTCATTTTCTCCCTTTGATCTTTTATACTTTCTCCATTTTTTTTTTCAAGTTTTGTTGAGAAATAATTGATATATGCCACTGTGTAAATTTAAGGCATATAGCATGATGGTTTGACCATTACAGGTTCAGCTACCATTCATCTCATATAGACACAGTAAAAAGAAAGAAACATTTACCATTTTCTTACTTAAGTAGTGGAAATTCTTACATTCCTAGCTATATGTAAGTAACAAGAAATGAAGCTTGTTACTCTGCCTATTTAGTAAAATTCTAGGGATTTCCCTCAAGGACTCATTTTATTTATTTATTTTTATTTTACTTTATTTAATTTTTTCAAGGGCTCATTTTATATTAGCATTTCTTAACCTTGATATTGAGGGTGGTAGCATTTTTCTGAAGTTTAATTTCTGTTTCAGTATTGAAGAATGTCGCAATATAATCATGCAATTTGGTGTTCGGGAGGTCACAGCTGCCCAGGTTGCAAGAGTTTTGGGAATGATGGCACGAACTCATTCAGGATTAACAGATGGAATTCCATTACAGGTAAGTGTAGAAATCGGTAGTTTTACAACATGAGTTAATGACCTTCCCTTTTTATTTACTAAATTAGAGTATGATCGTTCTACCAACCAGGGCTGAATATTAAATACTTAGGTCTGTTTAATTATAATTTTACTTCTACAGAGTATCTCTGCTCCTGGCAGTGGGATCTGGAGTGATGGAAAAGATAAAAGTGATGGAGCACAGGCACACACATGGAATGTAGAAGTCTTGATTGATGTTCTCAAAGAACTAGTGAGTACATGTAATTCATGCTGTTAGTGTGATAAAGCCCAAAGAAAGCAAATTTCAATGACTGATATGCCCAGCTGAAGGAAAACAGCAATGTTCTGCAATTCCCAACTTCATTGTCTCAAAAGTAAAGAAGTGTCCAAGATAATTATATACTAGAAATAATACATAGTCAAATTTCAGTTTTGTTCCTTAGGAGTTGTTGCTACATAATTTTGAGTGGCACTTTTGAGGTGATCTGAGGAATGTTGGTGTGTGTGGTTTTTTTTTTGGAGGTATGAATTTGTTGCAAGGGAGCAATTGTATGAGGAATTACTGAGAAAGGAGGCCTTGTGAATATTTCTTGGAAGGTACAAAAATATTCCCGCCAACCTTGATTTTGGTGGATAGGGATGATAAAAATCCATACTTTAATCTTACTACTTATGAGGAATTACTGAGAAAGGAGGCCTTGTGAATATTTCTTGGAAGGTACAAAAATATTCCCGCCAACCTTGATTTTGGTGGATAGGGATGATAAAAATCCATACTTTAATCTTACTACTTCTATTTCCGAAATATCCACAAACTAATTGGCTCCCAGATTAATGAAGTATGTCTCCTAAAATGTTAAAATGCTTAAATAAAACATGAAGAAGTGAAACTTTCAGATAGTAAAAGGTAGTGATGAAATTTAGTCAGTGGGAAAATAGTGGAGTCAAGATAAAATATCATCTGTCTTGTTTGTAAAATGTCAAGGAACAAAATATAATACTAAGGACTGCGTGTACTTAAAACATTCTTTATAAGGTGTCAGGTTATAGTTCTCATTTTTAGTTTTCTATATTTGTAATTTGTAGGTAAATTTGAGTTACGGAAGATCATGCTGTTCTTTATGACCTTACAACTTACTACTAACGCCATTATTGAGTTTTCTTTTTCTTATTAGTAGATGGATTTAAAGTGTTCAGACCTATTCTCCTTTACTCCTTGAGTGGAAAAAATGATATGTGATCATGGCAGAAAACTTGGAAAGAAAGAAGAGCAAAATAAAACCACAGTCCCATCACTTAAGCAATAAGGAGTTAATTGGTTTGATTTTGACCTGTGATTGTCTTGTAAAAGTGAAAACATGGCCTTCTCACTCAACAGTTCCATCTTTCTACTTTATTGTCCTATTGAAAATACTCATTAAGAACTGCAGAGGACCATATTCCATGTTATCTGAAGCTATTTTGATCTGTTTTCATAGATTGCAAAAGGCTATATAGATGAGCTCCCACACTGTGGTGTTGAACAATTGAGCTAATTAGTAACCTTTTCTTTTCTTATATGTTAGAAGTTTCTGTACATTTTTTGTAGGCAGGAAACAGGACAATTTCAGATATGCATAGGGGTCAATAATTACTCTCCTGACTGCCCACCAAGGATGGGAGGAGGAAACCACAAGGGTATGTGGGCTTAACTAATTTCTATCTACGGTAGTGTTGTTAAAGAGTGCATTTATGGTTCTGTTGTGTCACAGTCCTGGAAACAAATTCTACAAAGGAAAGATTGCTGAATGCTCTTGTTGCCTTTGAGTGATACCCCCTTTAACGTTTGTTCTTTGCACCATATACAAAACAAGCATTAGAGTGTGCATGGCCTGAAAGGAGTCACCTTAGAGCAAAACCAAACTGGTTGTGATACTGTGGTTACAGAAATTTAAAAGCAGAGTTCTTCCTTTCTAGTATAAAGTATATTTAATACTCTGTGCAGTGTTTGGTAAATTATTTCTCATAAACTTGTTTCCATTGCTCTGTGTTTCTCTTAAGAAGGCTTATTCTGGTTTTTTGAGTACCTTTTCATAGGATGTTTTTTTAAATGGAATATTCAGTCATTTTGACATAACGTCTCTAGATTACTTTCCCTGGTGCATACATTGGGATGCTTTCAGGAGAGATCTGTAATTAGTGAAGGATGGTGTTGGGGGTAATTGATTTATCATTGCCACTTTGTGTCAAGGTAGAATCTTGGTGTAAAGACAAGTGGCATTGAAAGAAGAGTTATTTATTTGCCATGCTGTGGTGGGAGTGTTCCTTTGAGAGAGAGTAGGGGAAGAGAGAGTTCTTTTCATACTCACATGTTCCGAAGTATGTTATGAACAGAAAGGTTGTAGTACCTAGCTAGTAGAGCCAGTTGAGTCTGAATATTAAGAATTTACCTTTCTAAGTCTATTTGGGAAATGCCAGAAAGATTCAGATGACTTTGAGTTTATTATGATAACATTTTGATTGAACTTCAGATTTAATTCAGCTTTAGATAACACATCAAAATATGTACACTTTTGTTGATTAAGCTTTGAAATGTTTTTCTTTCAGAACCCGAGTTTGAATTTTAAGGAAGTAACTTACGAACTAGACCATCCTGGGTTTCAAATTCGTGACAGTAAAGGACTTCATAATGTGGTTTATGGCATTCAGAGGGGTCTGGGTATGGAAGTGTTCCCAGTAGATCTCATATATAGACCTTGGAAACATGCAGAAGGCCAGGTAAGTGACTGGTGTTTAGCTATAGAAGGGGAACAAAATAATAACTGACTTGTTTTTTAGTGCCATCAACTCATTCATTAAAATATTCTCTTAAAGTAGAACTTGTTTTGCATAGGTCAGAGATTGTTGTAAATTTTGAAATGATTTATAGCAGCTTAGTACTATTCAGATTCAGTTGAAGTGTAGCAGTCAAGCTGTTTTCCCAGTAGTTTGATGATGTTTGTCTCCAAGGCCATCTCCTCATACAACTTTCATGAGTTGCATGTGTGTGAGTTATTGGTGGTTTTGAAAAAGCCAGTAATTAAGATTTTAAGGGGATATTGTCAGTCTTAATAACCTTAAGATTCAGATTAGCCTAATAAAAATGTTCCAAATTTTATAGCATTCCGAGTCATTTTTGGTGATAAGGACTTCTTTCTCTTGTTCCAGCTCTCCTTCATTCAGCATTCCCTTATAAACCCAGAGATCTTCTGTTTTGCTGACTATCCCTGTCATACTGTTGCCACTGATATTTTGAAAGCACCACCAGAGGATGACAATCGAGAAATTGCCACATGGTAAACACTCTCATCTAGCTTTTCTAGAAAAGGTCACTTGTACTTTTTTGAAATATAAAATTAATAGCAACTACATAGTTTAAAGGTCTAAATGAAACAGTATTTTTAATGCGTCTCCTTACCTTAAATTTTTATAGAGGCTGTGTTGGTGGATTAAAAACCTATTTTTAATCCTTTTATGTCTAGATAGTTACATCTCTCCTCTGCAAAGTCTGCCAGTAGGTATTTTCTGAAGCTCTCAAGTGTGGGAAGGAGATTCATACTTCTTTCTTAGTATTAGATCCCTTTCTTCTTTCTATAGATTAACTGGCAGTATCCTGAGATGACCAACCCATCAAATCTAATACTTTCAGCTAAATTACTTAGTTTCTCTGTGTTCCAAGGGCTAATTTCTGAGGGAGAATCTGACTCTGGGTTACTCCTGGAACTCAAGTCACTCCTCACTGGGGATGTGCGGTAAGGATGGTGAAAGTCCTTCCATCACTGGTGAATGTAATAGGGAAGGGGCATGGTCTGTTCCCTGAAGGCACCTACTTTATGATGTTTCTTCTGTTTTTCCCCCTAATCATACTCTCCTGGGATACTTTCAAGCATGGAACAGAGTATTGTCTTTATTTTTTGCCTGTGGGTTGTACTTTTAGGGCAGTTTAAAGTATCTTAGGCATTGTCAGATCTTTTAAAAAAAGGAATGATAAACTTTCTGTAAAGTGTTAACATGTGGCTTTGGGGGCCAGATAGTCTCTGTAGGAACAGCTTAACTCTTCTGTTGTAGCACAATATAAATATGTGTTGGGGTCTGTTACAGCAGAGTATTATTTACAGCAATAGGCAGCAGGTGGGATGTGGCCTGTTTACATCGCCAAATTTAGTTTGCTATTTCCTGTTCTGAAAGATTGACCCAAGCAAGCAGTGATTTGTTCTAAAGTGTGTCCTTTCCCCATTCAATCTATTTCTTTGCATTACCAAAGTAAGTGTTCAGGCTGTATTTTTGTGAAGGATTTTTCTTGTATATGATTTGTGTCTGTTAATACTTTGGATTTTTGACTATTCCTAAACTCTGTGATGTTGTGTTCTATTTTTCACATCAATAGTAAAAGTCTTTGATATCTCTTTGGTAAGAAGGATCTGTGGTTATTCTCTCTCCTTCACTACTTACTCCCTGTTAATTTGGAATGCCTTTGAAATTAGCATGAAAGTATATAGAAACATAAAGTTTTTTTTATTGAGGTATCATTGCTATACAATCTTATGAAGGTTTCACATGAGCAACATTGTCAGTACTACATTCCCCCCATTATCAAGTCCTTCCCACATACCCTATGAGAGTCACTGTCCATCAGCATAGTAAGATCCTGTAGAGTCATTATTTGTCTTCTCTGTGCTATACTGCTTTCCCTGTGCTCCTCTACATTATGTGTGCTAATCAAATGCCCCTTAATCCCCTTCTCCCTCCCTCCCCATACACCCTCCTCATTAGTTTCAGTCCCTTCCCTTTGGTAACTGTTAGTCCATTCTTGGGTTCTGTGAGTCTGCTGCTGTTTTGTTCCTTCAGTTTTTCCTTTGTTTTACTCTACAGATGAGTGAAATCATTTGATACTAATCTTTCTCCACCTGGCTTATTTCACTGAGCATAATACCTTCTAGCTCCATCCATGGTGTTGCAAATGGTAGGATTTGTTTTCTTATGGCTGAATAGTATTCCATTGTGTATATGTACCACCTTTTCTTTATCCATTCATCTACTGATGGACACTTAGGTTGTTTCCATTTCTTGGCTATTGTAAATAGTGCTACAGTAAACATAGGGGTGCACATGTCTTTTTCAAACTGGGTTGCTGCATTCTTAGGGTAAATTCCTAGAAGTGGAATTCCTGGGTCAAATGCTATTTCTATTTGGAGCTTTTTGAGGAACCTCTATACTGCTTTCCACAATGGCTGAACTAGTTTACATTCCCACCAGCAGTGTAGGGGGGTTCCCCTTTCTCCACATCCTCGCTAACATTTGTTGTTGTTTGTCTTTTGGGTGTTGGCCATCCTAACTGGTATGAGGTGATATCTCATTATGGTTTTAATTTGCATTTCTCTCATGATTAGTGATGTGGAGCATCTTCTCATGTGCCTGTTGTCCATCTGAATTTCTTCTTGGAGAAGTACCTGTTCAGCTCCTCTGCTCATTTTTTAATTGGCTTATTTGCTTTTTGTTTGTTGAGGTGTGTGAGCTCTTTATATAATTTGGATGTCAACCCCTTATCAGACATGTCATTTATGAATATATTCTCCCATACTTGTAGGATGTCTTTTTGTTCTGCTGATGGTGTCCTTTGCTGTACAAAAGCTTTTTAATTTGATGTAGTTCCACTTGTTCATTTTTGCTTCTGTTTCCCTTGCCTGGGGAGATATGTTCACGAAGAAGTTGCTCAATTTTATGTCCAAGAGATTTTTGCGTATGTTTTTTTCTAAGAGTTTTATGGTTTTATGACTTACATTCAGGTCTTTGATCCATTTTGAGTTTACCTTTGTGTATGGGGTTAGACAATGATCCAGTTTCATTCTCTTATATGTATCTGTCCAGTTTTGCCAACACCAGCTGTTGAAGAGGCTATCATTTCCCCATTGTATATCCATGGCTCCTTTATCTTATATTAATTGACCATATGTGCTTGGGTTTGTATCTGGGCTTTCTGTAGTCTTCCACTAGTCTATCAGTCTGTTCTTGTGCCAGTACCAAATTGCCTTGATTACTGTGGCTTTGTAATAGAGCTTGAAGTCAGGGAGCATAATCACCCAGCTTTATTCTTCCTTTTCAGGATTGCTTTGGCAATGCAGGGTCTTTTGTGGTTCCATATGAATTTTAGAATGATTTTCTCTAGTTCTTTACAGAGTGAAGAATGCTGTAGGTATTTTGATAGGGATTGTATTGAATCTGTAGATTGCTTTAGGCAGGATGACCATTTTGAGAATATTAATTCTAACTATGAGCATGGAATGTGTTTCGATTTACTGGTATATTCTTTAATTTCTCTCATGAGTGTCATGTAGTTTTCAGAGTATAGGTCTTTCACTTCCTTGGTTAGGTTTATTTCTAGGTATTTTACTCTTTTTGATGCAGTTGTGAATGGAATTGTTTTCCTGATTTCTCTTTTTGCTAGTTCATCATTAGTATATAGGAATGCCATAGATTTCTGTGTATTAATTTTGTATCCTGCAGCTATGTTGAATTCAGTTATTAGTTCTAGTAGATTCTTTAGGGTTTTTTTTTTTGTACAATTTCATGTCATGTGCAAACAGTGACAGTTTAACTTTTTTCTTACTCATTTAGATGCCTTTTATTGCTTTGTGTTGTCTTATTGCTGTGGCTGGGACCTCCGTTACTATGTTCAGTAAAACTGGTGAAAGTGGGCATCCTTGTCTTGTGCCCAATATTAGAGGAATAGATTTTAGCTTTTTTGCTGTTAAGGCCTTTATTATGTTAGGTACTTGCTCTGTGTGCCCATTTTGTTGAGTTTTTATCATGAATAGATGTTGAATTTTGTCAAATGTTTTTTGGGAACTATGGAGATATGTGATTTTTGTCCTTTCTGTTGATGTAGTGTATGATGTTGATGTTGATGGGTTTTCGAATATTGTACCATCCTTGCATCCCTGGGATAAATCTCACTTGATCATGATGTATGATCTTTTTAATGTGTTTTTGAATTCAGCTTGCTAATATTTTGTTGAGGATTTTTGCATCTATGTTCATCAGTGATCTTGGTGTGTAATTTCCTTTTTTGTGGTGTCTTTGGTTTGGTATTAGAATGATGCTTTCCTTATAGAATGAGTTTGGAAGTATTTCCTCATATTCTGCTTGTTTGTTAGCATATAGGTTTTCATAGTATTCTCTAATAATTCTTTGTATTTCTGTGTGTCTGTAATGATTTTTCCTTTCTCATTTGTGATTCTGTTTATGTGTGTAGACTCTTTTTTTTTCTTAATAAGTCTGGCTTGGGCTTTATCTATTTTGTGTATTTTCTCAAAAGAACCAGCTTTTAATTTCATAAATTCTTTCTATTTTTTATTCTTCTCAATTTTATTTATTTCTTCTCTGATCTTTTTTATGTCCCTCCTTCTGCTAACTTTGGGCATCATTTGTTCTTTTTTCAGTTTCAGTAATTGTGAATTTAGACTATTCATTTGGAATTGTTCTTTTCTTACATAGGTAGGCCTGAATTGCTGTATACTTTCCTCTAAGAACTGCCTTTGCTGCATCGCATAGAAGTTGGGTCGTTGTGCTATTGTTTTCATTTGTGTTCATATATTGCTTGGTCTGTTTTAATTTTGTTATTGATCTGTTGATTATTTAGGAGCATTTTGTTAAGCCTCAGTGTGTTTTTAGGCCATTTTGTTTTCTTTGCACAATTTATTTCTACTTTTATACTTTTGTGATCTGAGAAGTTGGTTGCTACAATTTCAGTTTTTTTGAGTTTAGTGATGCTCTTTTTGTGGCTGAGGATGTGATCTATTCTGGAGTTCCGTGAGCACTAGCAATGTATAATTTTGAGGTGAACAATACCCATTTAAATATTTTTCAAATATTATAAATAAGATGACAACTTGGTTGTGAATTTTATATCCTTAGATTTTCATTGATAGAGTATCTTTCTTCATTTTTGTTAGGAAGAGCTTGGATTTGATTGAGTCTTTGCTTAGGCTTGCAGAGGTGGGGCAGTACGAGCAAGTCAAACAGCTCTTCAGCTTCCCTATCAAACATTGTCCAGATATGCTGGTATTGGCCTTACTACAAATCAACACCTCTTGGCACACCTTGCGCCATGAACTCATCTCCACCCTGATGCCAATTTTCCTTGGAAACCATCCTAACTCTGCTATTATTTTGCACTATGCATGGCATGGGCAGGTAAGATATGACCATTTCTTCATCTTAACACTCTTTGGAGGATGTTGAACTAGAGAAATTGTCAATCTTGGAATTAGGACATTTTGGAACAGTCACAGTTCCATAAAACTAATTTTATCTTTTAGCATCATGTGAGTATTAAAGTATAAAAGTTCAAATAGCAAAGAAGTCAAGAAAAAAAGTATTATTAAAGCTCTTTACTGCTAGAGCACCATTTTAATTTTGATAGCAGTAAAGAGCTGTATTTATCATGGAACCAGAAAATACTTACATCACCTTTTAACAGTAAACAGTAGATAACAAATTAACTTAATTGACGTTATTTTGTTTTATCCAAATTCACCATTTAAATTACATTTTAGTTTCTTTTGAAATATCTTTCAAACTCTTGAATTTTCAAGCTATCCCCCAATTTTTTAGAGTATATTTGATGACTGAATATTCTTTTGTCTATTAATTTTTCCCCCTAATTGCCAACATTTATAGTAATGACAAATGCAGAAGCTTTATGAGAAAGCAGTCATCTTTCTTTACATCAGGTGTCTTTTTGGCTACCTTTTGTAGTTTATGTCATGTACAAGTGCTTTAAAAACAATCAGGTAAGACTGTAAGTGAAAATATGTTAGCTTTAGTACCATGACATTCAGTCAGTTCTCCATTTCTAGAGACTCAAACCATGTAGACTTAATAGTTTATAGAATGTTTAACAAACATTTAACTAAAAATTTGCAGTCCAGACCTTCTTATACCTTTGTTACCACAGCTGTAAGGTAGAAAGGCAGGCTGAAAGGAGCTCTGTCTCCTCATGTCTGGCTGAATATTTGTTTTACCTGGGCCTTCTGTCACTTTAGGATGGTCACTGGAAAGTGGTTTATATATAGAGGTAGTAATTGCCTTGCCATGGCTTCTATGAGAAATACTCACTGAATTCCAACTATTTGTTTATGTCATTCACCTGCAGGCCTTTAGATTAGTTTTCGAAGTCAGGCTGTTTTGGGTAAAAAAGAAATTGAATAATTACCAAAAGTGAACATTTTCATGTGTGAAAAGAGCTAGCTTTAGAATGTGTAATCACTACTCTCAGTAGTACTGAGAAAACACTGCAACATGAACTGCAATTACCTTAAACTGTTTTGTTTTTATTTGTAATTTAATTTTCAGAAATTATATAAGCCTGAATATACCCTAATGGTCACATCTTGTTCTAATTTTGAATTACTATATGACCCAAGATTTTGGGGCAGGCTTCATTTTGAAGATGTGGAAGTAACTTGACTTTCCCATAAAGAATGTCGTGGTAACCACTGCTTGAGGCTTTAACTTAATGTGTGCACTGATAAGCCTCAATTTTAGATCAGTATAATGGGAGAAAATACCTGAACATTTGCAGTAGTTTAACAGTATTGCTATTTAACTCTTATTTCCTTAGGGACAGTCACCCTCAATCCGCCAACTTATCATGCATGCGATGGCAGAATGGTACATGCGAGGGGAGCAGTATGACCAGGCCAAATTGTCTCGAATACTTGATGTTGCCCAGGACTTGAAGGTAAGTTTGGAGGGACAGACTAACACTTTTATTTATTTTTGATAAAACATAGTATTTTAATGTAACATAGATGTTTTAGGAATAATTCATATGTAATGGGATCTTAGCTAAAATGAGTTGAGATTTAGAATTTTGCCTTGTAAAGAAAAAGGGATTAGAAAAAGAGTGGTTTTAGAAATGTAGAAATATTTTCAATTACATTTGATTGAATTTTGTTTGATATATAATAGTTGCAAGGCTGTTTTATAGCAAATGAAAATTGACCTCTTCTCAGATGTAATCTGTGAGATAGACGTTTTGGAGAAAATGGTTGTATTTAATCTCTTTTGCAAATTTCATTAGCATTAACAGGATCTTTTGACAGATACCTGTGTCTCAGTGTCTTTGATCACTAGGTACATAGTACTGGTGTTAAGTTGTGCTTAGGTTAGAAAAAGCCTAAACTTAGAATTTAGTGCTGCATGTATTTTTGTGTCTTGCTCTGCTTTAGGTTATTTGAAAAAGGGTAAAGTTTAGTTTGAAGGGAAAGTTGTGTTCACCTTTGAAATGTAATCTTACTAGGTAAGGACTTATAAGACCATTGAGTTGTACTAAGTTGTTTAAGAAATTATGACCAATAAAATATTAGCAGTATGTTTTATGTAGACTTAAGAAAATAAAACAGTAAACAAAATAGGACAGCGTTAACTTAATTGCTTGGCTTGTAGTTTCTAATACTCTTTTTCTTTAGGCCTTGTCAATGCTGCTAAATGGTACTCCATTTGCCTTTGTTATTGACCTTGCTGCACTTGCTTCACGTCGTGAATACCTCAAACTTGACAAATGGCTCACAGATAAGATTCGAGAGCATGGAGTAAGCAAGATTTTGTCCACTTCTACTACTTTAAAATTTTGACAGCTAAAATAACTAAAGAAACAGCTTTTTAAAAGGCAGTGAAGATGTCACTATATTCCATATCTTAGTTACACTGCTTAATGTTTAATCTGAAAGCAATTAAGCTCAATTTCAAGTACACTGAGAGACTTTCTGTTTTTCAGGAGCCTTTTATCCAGGCATGTATGACTTTTTTAAAGAGACGGTGCCCTTCTATTTTGGGTGGACTTGCCCCAGAGAAAGATCAGCCCAAAAGCGCTCAACTTCCTCCAGAAACTCTGGCAACAATGTTGGCCTGTTTACAAGCTTGTGCAGGGTAAGAACAGAGAGCATGCTTGAAAACATCTATTGAAAGTAAAGTTAGATTATATGTATAATTGTTGATTTGGGGAAGAGGGATTGCATGACTAAAGCCACAGCAATTTAGGTAATCCAATGTTTTTTAAGTCCAAAGTGCTATACTCCTTAAAATGCATATTAGATCCATTTGAGTTAAATCTTTGCATATGTTGTGAGATAGAGTCCCAGATTCATTGTTTCGCAAGTGGGTATTCAGTTATTTCAGTACTATTTGTTGAAAAGACTTTCTCTTTTGAATTGTCTTCTAAGATATCAGTTGTCCATAATGTCTGGGTTTCTTTGTGGATTTCTAGTTTTGTTCCATTGGTTAATATGTCTGACCGTATGCTAGTACCAAACTGTCTTTGATTAGTATAACATTTTAGTTAAGTTTTGAAATTGGGAAATATGAATCCCCCAACTTTTTTCAAAATTGTGTTGAGTTTTCTGGGTCCCTTGAATTTCCATATGAATTTTAGCATCAGCTTGTCAATTTTTGCAAAGAAATTGTAAAGTGGGCCCACTGGGATTTTGATAAGGATTGTGTTGAATATGTAGATTATTTTGGGGAACATGGCCATTTTAACAATATTTAGTCTTCCAGTTCATGATTCTGAGATGTTTTTCTATTTATTTGGGTCTTTTGGTGATGATCTGTCATTTCCAGTGCGCGAGTCTTGCACTTCTTTTGTTGCATTGATAAGTATTTTATACAGCCATCTGGGAATATAGTTTGATTTATTCTTTCCAATCTGTATGCCTTTTTTGTGAGGTGGGGGTTTAATTTCTCCAATGTTCACCTCCAATCTAATGTTGAAGTGGTGAGAGCAGACATCCCTGTCTTCCTCCTGAATTTAGAAGGAAAGTAGCCAGTGTTAAGCATGATATTAGCTGTTGGTTTCATAGATACCCTTCAGGAGGTTTCCTTACCTTCTAGTTCTAGTTTGTTGGGTGTTGTGTCATGTAAGTAGTCTATGAAATGCTTCTATATGTATCTATGGAGATGATCATGTGATTTTGTTTTTCATTCTGTTGATGTGGCATATTACGTACGTTAATTGATTTTTGGGTGTTAAAAAACCATGCATTCCTGGGATAAATCTCACTTGGTCTTTGTGTACACATTTTATTTGCTTTTCAATTCAGCTTGATAGTATTTGGGTGACTATTTTCTTGTCTTTATATCTATGGTATATTGTTCTATAGTTTTCTTGTATTGTCTTTGTCTGGTTTTGATACCAGGGTAATAATGGATTTGTACAATGAGCTGATAGGTATTCTCTAATTTTGTGAGAAAGATTGGTGTAAATTCTTTAAATGTTCCATAGAATTCAGCAGTGAAACCATCTGGTATTGGACATTTTCATGTGGGTAGTTTAAATTACTGGTTCAGTATCTCTACTTGTCAGAGGTCTGTTTAAATTTTCTATTTCTGAGTCAGTTTTGGTAGTTTGTATCATTTTAGGAATTTGTCCATTTCATCTAGATTATCTAATTTGTTGGCATACAGTTACTTTACACTATACCCATATAATCTCTTATTTTTGAAGGTTGGGAGAAATGTCCTCTCTCTCAATTACAAGGTTTTATGTCTCTGTCTCTCTTGGGAGGGGGGCATCAGTGTAGCTTAAGTGTATATCAATTTTGTTGACCTTTTCAGAGAACTAACATAACAGTTTTGTTTTTGTTATTTTTCTGTTTTTCATTTATTTTAGCTGTAAACTTTATTGTTTTCCTTCTTTCTGCTTATTTTGAGTGTAGTTTGAACTTCTAAGAATTTTTTTGGAGATTTGTCTTGTTTCACTGGTGTGCTTACGACTTTGAATTTCGACCTGTGAAATTCTTTTAAGTTGGGTATTACGTGTTTTAGTTTTCATCTGGAAGTATTTTGTAATTTCCTGTTGGTTGTAAGAGTATGTTGTTTAACTTCCATGTTTTTTAATTTTTCTAGTTTTCCTTTTATTACTCATTTTTAGTTCATTCCATTATGGTTGAAGAGTATACTGTACATGATTTCCGTCTCTTTAAAGTTACTGAGATTTTTCTTATGGCTTAACATACGGTTTATCATGGCAGAATTTTCCATGTGTACTTGAGAAGAACATGTAGTTGCTGTAGGGTAGGATATTCTGTTTTTATCTGTTAGGACTAGTTGGTTTATAAGCATTGTTGAAGTCTGTTTATATTCTATATGATTCTGTTCATTTTTTAAAATTGACTTACATTTGATAAACTATTATATTGGTTTCAAGTTATAGCACATTGGTTCAGTTATAGCACATTGGTTCAGCAGTTATACACATTATTAAATCCTCACCCCAACTATTGCAGTTACTATCTGCACTAGTTGGTATAGAACTATTGGCTATATCCTCCATGTTGCACTTCCAACCCCCCTGACCAGGTTATATTATGATTGAGATTTTTGTGCCCCTTTATCTCCTTCCCTCTCTCCACTCAACCCATGCTGTTCATTACTTTTTAAATTTGAGATAAAATTGACGTATCACATTATGTTGTTTAAGGTAAACAGTGTGTTGACTCGATGCATTTATATATTGCAATACAATTGTCACCATAGCATTAGCTAATACCTCTATCATGTCACATGACTGTTATTTCTTTTTTGTGGTGAGAACAATTATGATCTAGTCTCTTAGCAACTTTGAAGTTTGTTATACAGTATCATTGACTATTCATTGTTGAAAGTAGGGTATAGAAGGGGAATTAGGTGTGCAAGACCCAGGTCCCTGTGGGGAGAGTTCCTACACATACACCACCAAGCAGTTCTCAGACACTCAGCAATTCTCAGTGTGTCCAAGAGTCCATCTCAGTTCTGATGCCACCTGAGATAGCATTAGATTCCACAGATTAAATAAGAGTTCACTCTTATCAGAGTGACCCATATGCCCCACTTCAGACATCAGTCTCAAGCTCCATGCTGTTACCAACTAGCTACAGATTGGAGGTTCCAATGACCGCCTCCTTATGTTTGATTAATTTGCTTGAGTGGCTCACAAAACTCAGGGCAGTGTTTTCGTACGCTTACCAGTTTATTAAAGGACATGGTTAAGGTTACGGATCAGCAGCTTGATGAAGAAATACATAGAGCAAGGTCCTGGGCACAGGGACTTCTGTCTTATTGGAGGTTTGGGCCTGGGTTGGTGGCTTGTAGAAGCTTTCCAAAAAGGGAGAAAAGGAACAAAAAGTCTCTTCTTAGATTTTTATGGAGGCTTTATTACATAATCATGATTGACTAAGTCATTGGCTTTGGCTGATTCACCCTCTAGCCCCTTTTTCCTCCTGGTTGCAGGTGGGACTGAAAATTCCAACCCTATAATCATATGGTTGGTCCTTCTGGCAGCCAGCTCCTACCCTTGGGTGGGATCACCTTCATTAATAACAAGACACTCATTTCACTTTAATGGTTCTGAAGTGTTTTCAGGAACTGTTGATGAAGACCAGATATATCCGAGAAATGTATTTTGATCATCTAATGACCAAATGTATATTTCTCATAAATCATTATGTTTTAAAAGCCTCGAGACCAGCTATTACTTTTTAATTTGAACTTTCTATTTCTCCCCTCAGATTTTCCTAATTGTTTTGGAGCTCTTTTATAAGTGTGGGTATATTTATAATTGTTATGTTTTCCTCTAAAAGAGGATTGGCCTTTTTATTATTACAAAATGTTTTTCTTTCTCTGTTAGTATTCTTTCCTAAAGGCTGTTTTGTCTGGTAATAGTAGAGCCATTATAGTTCTCTTTTTGTTAATATTTGCTTGATATGTCTTTTTCCATCTTTTATTTTTCAATTGTATGTATCTTAATCTAAACTTAGACTGGGTTATTTTTTTATTTTTTTATTTTTTTATTTTAATTTCAACCATCTCTGTCTTTTTACTTGGTGGGCTCAATCCATTTACATTTAACATAATTAGTGATAAGGTAGGATTTATCCCTGCAATTCTGGAATTAAGTCTTCTGTATGTCTCATGTCTGTTTTTGTTCCTTCTGTCTCCTTATTGCTAAATAGATAATTTTTAGTGTATCATCCTAATTCCCTTGTTTCTTTTCTTTTTTTTATTATGGTTTTATTGATATACACTTATGAAGGTTTCACATGAAAAAACAATGTGGTTACTACATTCACCCCTGTTATCATGTCCCCGCCATACCCCTTTGCAGTCACTGCCAATCAGTGTAGTAAGATGCCACAGAGTCACTGTTTGCCTTCTCTGTGCTACACTGTTTACCCGCTGATCCCTCCTGTACCTGTGTGACAATCATAATACCCCTGAATCCCCTTCTCCCTCCCGACCAGCCCTCTTCTACCCCTTCCCTTTGTTAACTGCTAGTCCCTTCTTGGAGTTTTTAAGTCTGTTACTGTTTTGCTCCTTCGGTTATGCTTGGCTGTTATACTCCACAATGAGGGAAAATCATTTGGTACTTGTCTTTCTCCACCTGGCTTATTTTAATGAGCATAATATCCTCCAGCTCCATCCTGTTGCAAATGGTATGATTTGTTTCTTTCTTATGGCTGAGAAGTATTCCATTGTGTATATGTACCACATCTTCTTTATCCATTCATCTGCTGATAACACTTAGGTTGCTTCCATATCTTAGCTATTGTAAATAGTGCTGCAAAAAACATAGGAGTGCATATGTCTTTTTGAATCTGAGAAATTATATTCTTTGGGTAAATTTCTAGGAGTGGAATTCCCGAGTCAAATGGTACTTCTATTTTTAATTTTCTGAGTACCTCTATTCCCACCAGCAGTGTAGGAGGGTTCCCCGTTCTCCACATCCTTGCCAGCATTTTTTGTTCTTAGTCTTTTTGATACAGGCCTTACTAACTGGTGTGAGGCGATACCTAATTGTGGTATTTATTTGCATTTCCCTGGTAATTAGTGAAGTGGATCATTATTTCATAGGCCTGTTGGCCATCTGAATTTCTTCTTTGGAGAATTGTTCATAT